AAGGGGGAAGAGCGGTAAAAGGAGAAGGAGGGAATTAAACAGAAAAAAAAAGTTGATTTCAATTGTTTGCCGTTGTTCCTCTTTGTTTTTGCTTTCTGGACTGTGTGGGGCGGCGGCAGCGGAGGAAGATGCAGGTGAAGGTGCGGAACTGCGCTAGAATCGCCGCAGCGGCGGCGCTGGGGTACCTCGCCTACCGCGGGTTGCGGAGTTTTCTGCGGAACGAGATCACGATAAGCGTCACGGAGCTGGTGCAGCTGCCGCCCAGTGAGGGGCTGCTGGAGTTGGATGAGCAGACGCTGCTGCAGGGGGAAATCCAGTGCGACACGTATCTGATGCGCAGCTACCGTTTTCTTATGCGGCTCTCCGCCAACGTCAAGAGCGTCTCCACCTCACCCCCGCCCTCGGCGCGCTCTCGTCACCGGGTCATTCATGCAACAGAAAACACCAGCTACCGAAGCATCATTTCGCATGGTGTGAGTAAGAAGCGGGAGGGGCTCCCCAGCCTTACCGTTCATGATGTCCACAGCATGGTGGACCACTGGGAGCTCTCGCCCAACGGCAACGTCTACTTTACGCCTCCTTGCATCGGAGACGCGCTACTGATGCGTTACGAGGCGTCGGTAAAAGCCGGTCATCCCGTGAACGCCGTGGTGAAGAACTGCTATCTACAAGCCGACGAACGACCGGGCCTCAAGCGCCTCTCCTTTGACTTGATGGTGTACGATGTTGTGCAAGCGGCGAAGATACGCATCGCTCTGCCCAATCGCTACTGCGACGTCGTTGCGATCCACACCGGCGGCGTCGGCCTTATGCAACAGCCAGACGCAAGGAAGCCGCACCACCTCATCTGGGACGTCGGCAACGTCGACGAGACAACGTGGAAGAAGGTCGAGTCCTTGGCGCCTGACGTCTTGCCGGAGGGTCGGCTTGCGCGTCGCGGCTTCACCGACGACGACATGGCGGCGGCCGTAGAGCGACAGAAGAGCGGTGACAACGTTGAGGTCATGGCGAATAGTTACCAGCTCTCCAGCGCCATGGAGGCGAAGTTGGAAACCAGAAGTGAGAACTATGACGAGGACGCTCCGCTTGCTGCGGATGCCAATAGAGGGGGGCCTGGCACCCGCAGAGGTACCGGGCTTCCTGAAGGGACGCAGCTTCTCATCGCGCACTTTCACCTCGTCTTTGAGGAGCCCGATGGGATAGAGAACGACTACGTCTCGACCGACTCGGAGCTGAGCGACGGCGAGGATGGAAGTGGGGGGTGTGACGAGGCGAGGCGGCGAACAGGCGACAGTCGCTCGGCGCGGTCTACAGGCGGCACTAGCCGCAAATCCGCAAAGCGTGAGGAGCGCGCTCGCAAACGCAAAATGGTGCGTTGCAGTGCGGATTCCTTAGCCAACTTGGGACGAGGCGCGTCCACCCGCGTGCCGGCTGTCGAGCTCTCCTACAGCGTGGGCGGACTCGCCTCGGGCGTCACTGTGCGGAAGCTGCAGACCGTGAGTGACCTGCCAAACTGGGTTCCGCGTTCAATCCTTGACCGCTGGGTGCTGCGGTGGATGGTGCCCAGCATCCACCAGCTGCGGCTGGGGAAGTACGCCCACTACAACTCGTGGTTTGTGCAGCCCGTTGCGGTCACGCTGCTCTGATGCGGTCACATGGCCAGCCACAGAAAGTTGCGCGACGGTGTTGGAGGCACACACAATAAAGCGGGAAGGAAGAAAAAGACCGGTGAATAACATCTAAAAGAAGGGGGTGGAGGGAGATGCAATTCTGGCAGTGACGATGGGGTGCGGGGATTGCGGATGTCGGTGGGATTTTTTCGCGGCGCCGCCTCTCCGCCACACTCCGGGTATCTTTGGTACTTCCAAAAAGTTCCGAATTGTCCTCCCTGCTTCAAAAGGAAACAGGAAAAAAAAAGAACAAACAAATAGCAACACTTTTGTTTTGTTTTGTGTTTTCGTTATTGTTACCAGCCATCCCCATTGAAAAAAGATGGTGAATAACACACACGCACACTCATGCCCTTTTGCACCCACGCATCGCCGCAAAGGGCACACAAACGTGCTCTGGAGCAAGAGACCTGCTATTTCAAAAGAGGAGGGCGGCACTCGTCGCAATCCGTGTGACGCGGCAGCCACTCTTTTTTTTTAAAAAGCATTTTGATGGATTCGGGTACGAGAGAAGCCAGTGGCAGCACTAGTAACAGCAACAACAACAACACCCTCGTCAGGAAGAACCAAAATGGGGAGGGCAGGGAGCAAAACACTCTTTTCCCCAGTCGCTTGCTGCTGGGAAGTAGTAGGGATGTACACCGTAGACCTGAAGGGCGAAACCGACAATAAAGGAAGAGAGAAGGAGAGGGTGTGAGATTGCCTGAATCCAAGGAATCTGACGGCAGTTGGGGTGAAAGCAGAGTCAGAGGGTAGGAGGACAGGATGTCAGTGAGGGCGAATGTAGAGAGTTCTGTAATCCTTCTCTGCAATTGGATGCTATGAGTAGATTGTTTGCTGGTGCTATTTATTGGTGCGTCAATGGGTTATGTGTAGTGTGCGTGGATGGGTGGGTCGTGAAGGATGTCGCGGCACGCACATGGCTCCAGCTCTTTTATTATTTTGTTTTATGCTCGATTTCTTTGCGTGGCTTCTACTGTTCTATATTTATATATTTATATATTTATATATATTTATATATATATATGTGTGTGTATATTCACAGTCCCATAGCCGCTGTCAAACTTTTCTGTTCTTTTCTTTTCCTTCTTTTGGGGTTGTCCTTCTAATTCCTTTCGGTCTCCTTCTCAAGCATCTGCGCGTATTCATTCATTTTGTTTTGCTTCAGTCTGGGGGATGGGGGGTCCGTGGGGGAGGTAATTTCCCTCGTTCTTGTGATCTCCACGCAAAGGCGAAGAACTGTGGCGTGGCATTGGGGACCTATCTGGCTGGTGAGGGGGGTGCGTGATCGCTTCTCTCCCACCCTCTCTCCACGCATGCGTGTGTTGTTCTACCGAGTACCGCCCTAATGATGCGTACAGAAGAGGAGGGCTGAAAAGGCGTTGTCAGGCCCTTAGACACACACACACACACACACAAGTAGATATACAGTTAGAGGCCATGTCACAGGCGGGGCGGCAGCGACGACGGTGGCAGGGCGGCTCGCAGGGTGGAGAACGACGACGACGACGAGGACGACGACGACTTTTTGCCCTCCATTCCTGAGGCGCTGCTGCAACAACAGCCGAATGACCCGACGACAACGACGGCCGATAAGAGCTTGGGGGTGGAGCACAGGAAGCGATCGCGTTCGTCAAGCATGCACGACGTCGATGAGGCCGACGACGGCGCGTCCCGCGACGTTGGCTGCGACAAGGGCGGAGCCGAGCAGGGCGAAGAAAGTTTTCTGGCGCTGCTGAATTCGGAGGGATTTCCAAGCAGCTTTCTCTACGAACGGAGCTATCGACACAGCCATTCTCTGCAGGATCTTGGTGTTGTACAGGACGAGCTTGGCAGCCTCATTGCCACGGTGGACTCGACTGGGACGCTGCGTGCGTGGCGAAAGCTTCCGCGTGGTGTGTTTTTCCTGGGGGATCGCCAGGGTCTTTTTCCGCAGCGGGTGGTTGAGGGGGACCTCAATGACGCGGTGAAGCACTTTATTCTCACTGACCCACTCACGCCCAGTCTGTTCGTGCTGCGCGTTATGCCGTGTCTGGAGGCGACAGCTGGCGTTGTGAGGGTTGTCGTTGAGGTCCGTCTTATGAGCTCCGCTCTCATGACGGTGGAATCCCGTCTCTCTTGCGAGTTCAGCGTGACGCTAGGCACGAAAGCCGAGTCTCTGTGTTGGAAGGAGAGCGTCACGCAACGACCCTTTTTACTACACCACGATCACCAACCATTTATTGTTTTTTTCACCATGGAAAAGGATGGAACGAGCCACACCGTGTTTTTGCCGTGTATCACGGAAAAGGCGCCGCGTTCTGGCGGCACAGCCACAATTGTGGCTTCCACTCCGCTGAGCACAGCCAATCTTGTGGTCTGTTGCCAGCAGCACCGATCAAGCGGCCTGGTGGTCTTGGTTGATGAGAGGGGCATCGTCGATTACGCACGCATCATGGTCTCACCTGACAATGAAGATCGGGCTCGTGTTTATCTTCAAGTCGTCTCTGGGGTGCCGCCGCGTGGCGCAGCTGACCCCATGCTGCTGCGGCGGTGGATTACCTTTGCACGGCGCCAGAAGACCGGCTTTTTTACATTGTTGCGAGATGCCATGGGTTTTGCCAAGGCCGGAAGGCTGATGCTGCCGCTTCATGTTGGGTTTTCCGCAACTGGGAGGTATTTTGTGGTGTCAAGTGGCCTCCTGCGTGAGGGCCACGTGTGTGTGATTGCGCATGTTTTCGACTTCTCCAGCGGTCAACTTCTCTGCCACGGCGAAACCGAGGAAACGGCAACTCCGTCGCTTGCTGGGGCAAGCGCTCTGCAGGCGGCACTGCGGCTAATGCGTGGTGCCGCGTTTGACGTCGTCGTGGAGGACGCCGTGCGCAAATCCCCGAAAGGTGGGGCGGGGGGCGTCTGGGTGTTCGTCCCAGAGATTATTTTGGGGACCTCGTTTGAGGAGCGCGTCTGTGGTCGCCGCGTCTTTGTCTTTCGTGCCGCGCCGTTGCCTGCTAACCGAGCGCCGCTGGCGGGCGGAACTGGGGCCTCCATCTGTGCCTCAGCGACGCCGTTCCACATGGAGCAGGTGTGGCGCGCCATTGGAGATCTGGAGAAAACTGTTCGAGAGATGCTTCTTCCGGCGTCTTCGTTGCTGGCGTCAGGCGCGGCGCTGCACCGGCACTTTGCTGCCCCCCTGTCACTGATACGGCTCACCGCTCCTGCCAGCCAAGCTCTCAAGAACCTTGTGGCTCAGTCCCCCGTCGGCGCCACTCTCTTGCAGGAGGACATCAAACGACTTTTTGATGTTTCAAGCACGGCGGCCTTGGCAGCCTCGTCCAATGCGCGGTTTCTTGACGCCGCTGATCCCACGTTTTGTACAACATCGCCGGGGGAACCCGCCCTTTTATTGTACACAAGGTATGAGGCGCAGTTGGGGGTGAGTGGTGCGTTGCAGTCAGAGCACACTGCTCCCACCGATGCCACGGAGGTCGTCGGCGGAAAGACGGGGCAACAGCATCACGAAAAAACGTTATCCGATTTACACCAGAGGCGCGACTTTGACTGTGGCGATCTGCTTGTTATGCAGACCTCTCTTCAGAGTGTGATGCCGCGTGAGGCGGTGACAGACGACGACGATGACAAGGAAGAAAATAACAATAACAACAACAACGGAAAAAACCAGGAGCCTGAGGACGCCGCTCAAGAGAAGCGTGACGACCATGAATTGGACGCTGACGTGGAGGAGCGACGCGTACAACACATCATCACGGCGGCGACAGCACGGACCATAGAGTGGGGAACGTCGGCCGTTCACGTCTCTTTGTTTATAGACAACTTTGGGACGGTTACTCTCCGCCTACTGCCCCAGTTCGCGCCAAAGGCTGTGAAGAATTTTCTTGCCCTGGCAAGAGAGGGTTTTTACAACGGGTTGACGTTCCATCGTGTGGTGCCGGGTTTCATGATTCAAGGCGGATGCCCTGTTGGGGATGGTAGTGGGGGGAGAAGTGTTTTTGGCGAGAAGTTTGAGGACGAGGGGGTGCATGTCATGGATTTCTTCTCGTACCCAACCGTGTACTGGATGTGCATGGCCAATTGTGGCCCCAACACGAACGAGTCGCAGTTTTTCATCACCGTGGGTGCGGCGGCGCCGTGGTTGAATGGAAAGCACACCGTTTTTGGCTTTGTGGTCGCGGGAAAGCCGGTGGTGCGCGCGGTTGCGCAGACGCCACGAGGGGAGGATGACAAGCCAATCACCCCCGTCGTGATTCGGCGTGTCGTCGCCACGGAACGGGCGACAGACGAGTAATACATGCAGGACCTGCTCCTTCTTTCCATTCTAACGCGACGTGCGACGGCGTCTTTTTTTAGGTTGATTCTTGTTTTGTTTTTGTTGTATTTCGTTAACTTTGTTTGCGTGTTTCCTCCGTGGGAGCGTTTGGGTGATATCTTCAACGCCACCAGCGGCCCCCTGCGAGCGCACCTCTGCGCGGAGTTCTCTTTCTCTCTCTATTTATCTTCTTCTCCCTCTCCCTTTTGGTTTTCCGTGTAAAACGCGTGTGACGGGGCGTCAGGGAATCGCAAGCAGAAGAGGAATACAAAAACAAAGAAGGAGAGAAGCCGTAAGACGCGGTCGGGGGTTGCACAGCCGGGCAGAAAGAGAGAAGGAAAAAAAAAATGTTCAGCTACGATGAGTTGGTGTGGACAATATCTTTTCCTGTGTTCTGCTCACTTGTGATGTGGCTTTCGATAGCCCTCGCACTGCTGGTGCGCTCGGTGCGAGGCCGCGAGCTACGAAAAAATATACGCGACTCTATACTGCGAATAGAAAGTCGGGGGACAACTGTGCCCGGCTCTCTTCGCCGCAACAGCAAGGCCATCCTGCGACGTGCGGTTGTGGTGGTGGGCGGCGACTTTGCCCGCTCACCGCGCATGCAGTATCACGCGGCGAGCCTAGTCAAGTGTGGCCTTTTTGATGGCGTGATTTTGGTGGGATTTGACATGGGCAATGCTCTGATAGAGGATCTCCAACCAAGCAAGGGCGGCAGCACGGAGGAAGAGGGGGAGTGCGTTGTAGACACCACCTACTTGATCCCGCCCGTGACGCCGCCTTCGTGGTTCCGTCGCGTCTTTCGCCACCCTCGGGTGTACTGGGTGGCGTCCACCGTCTATCGTGCCTGCATCTGTGCCGTAGTATTTGCTTGGTCGCTTATAGCTGCCTTACTCATGGTAGTGAATGCCCGCGGACAACTGCTGCTTGTGGACCTTGTGCTCGTTCAATCGCCCCCAGCAGTGCCTTTTGTGCCTGTCATCAAGTACGTCGTCCGCCCATGCGTGTTGCTGATAAATGCGGTTACGTACTACGGTTTCATTGTCCCTGTTTCATGGATGATGTGCGATGCACTTGGTGAAATTCGCGGGGGCCTAAAGTTACAAAAACAGCTGGTTCTAGGAAACAAGAGCGATATCGCGCCCTCGCGGTTTGTAATCTGCCCGGCTCTTATCGTAGATTGGCACAACTTTGGCTACACCATTCTACAAAGCGACCGCCGTCCATCCCTGGCCGTCTGGGTTTACCGGATGTTTGAGTGTCACTGCTGCCTTGGCGATCGCAACGTGACGGTTAGTAAGGCGATGCAGAAGGCTCTTCGCGCCCTTCAAGGTCAACCTGCGAATCGGCTAGGCGAGACACAGTCATTGAAAACAAACCAGGCGGCAGTGCTATACGACACGCCCCCTGCCTTTTTTGGTCCGGTGTCACGGGCTCGTTTTGTGCAGGAAGTCCTGCGTCCCATTTTGGAGTCGACTCGCGAAGATGCGAAGGAAGTCATGGGGCTCTCGCCACCGCCGGCGTGGGTGATGGAGGCGGAGTCCCACGACGACACCGCCGCAAACGGCAACCTCAAAGGACTGTTTGTGGTGGCTGCCACTAGCTGGACCGCCGACGATGACTACAGCATGGTGGTGGAAGCGCTTGCCCGCGTCGATAGGCTCTTACAGCAGCGACAGAATGGCACAGCGTCGCTTGTTTTGAAGCCAATCTGGCTGCTCGTCACAGGCAAAGGTGTGTCACGGGAGCGTTTTGAATGCGCGGTTGCGGCGGCCCTTCTCTCCCCGCTCGTAACTGTGACAACCATGTATTTTCAATCGTATTTGGACTACGCCGCGGCCCTTGGTGCAGCGGATGTTGGCCTCTGCCTTCACCACTCCTCCAGCGGTTTGGACTTGCCCATGAAGGCGGTGGACATGCTGGGTTCGGGTCTTCCTGTTGTGGCTCTGCGGTATGAGGCGCTTCCGGAACTACTGGACGAAAAACGTGGCTGGCTATTCAGCAACGCGGAGGAACTGGAGAGGATCCTGTGGCGTCTTGTCCAGGGAGATTCCGACAGTGACGCGGGGTCCGTGAAACAAAAGCGTCTTCACGTGATGCAGCGTCGCGACGAAACGTGGGACGAGCGTTGGCGCTCCGTGGTCCTGCCCTTGCTGCAGGATCTGCTTTGATGGCGAGGGAGCAATGAAAGAGTTTAGCGAGGGTAAGTGTGTGTGAGAGAGAGGAGGAGGAAGACGAAAGAAAAAAAAAAACGAGTGGGGTGGGGGTGGGGTGGGGGGAAAAGCTGTGGGCGGGGCGCCGCGCTGGAAAGAGGCAAAGGAAAGGACCAAATAGGTAAAACTTACAATACTAAAGAAGGAGTCATCGCTGATGGCACACGCATTGTTGCCACTGTTTTTGTTTTTGTGTTATTATGTATCTGTGACTGTTGTTGTGTGCGCTTTGTTTTGTTTTTTTTTTCGCTTCCCTCCCTCCGCCTGCAAGCGGTGTGTGCCGAGCTTGACGTGCTGCTTTTGTACCTCCTCCGCCCTCCGCTTAGGGACCCACAGCGACACGGGGGTGGATGATGTCCGTCGTGCTTCGTGGCCGGGGCGGCGCCGGCGCCTGGTGGGTTCTGCGGGCGGGTTGCCGCGCCTACCACCGGACCGTCGCCTGTCGCCGGCGCCCTTCGCAGTGGTCGGGCGTCCACGGCCAGTCGCGGGTGGCGGGGAGACTGGCGGCGGCGCCAGGGACGCCACGAAGCAGCAGCGGCAACGCGGACAGAGAACCGGATGCCGGCACTTTGCGTGGCGGCACGAGCGAGAATCACGAAGAACACTCGTCTCTGGCGGGGCCGGCGTCGCCACAGGCGTATATGTACCGCCTGCGGCACGGGCGTTTTGACGATCTTGCAACGCTTTTATCAACACCCTACGCGGCTCCGCCGTTGCGGATCCTGACGGATGTGCTTCGCGAGGCGATGCAGCTGAAGCTGCGTTTGGCGTCCGGCGAGGGTGGCGATGCCGGTGCTGACGACGCGGGCCGGAGTGACGCATGGGAGGCACTTCAGCGCATGACGCATGCGCTGTCCGATCCACTTGCTCTTAGACACGTGCTTTCCGAGGCGATTCACGTGACAGCAGAGGTGAAAGAGGCTGCGTCTGCAGTGGGGGATCAGATTAGCGAGCGCGAGCTGCAGAGGGTGTTGTGCGAAATAGAATCCTTTGTAGATCAGTTACGGCAGTGGAACACCGCAATGAACACGGGCTTTTCCGTTGCCGCCACACACGCAGAGGATGCCAAGTTTTCGTATTTGTTGGGATGGGACCTGCCAGATGTGGCGATGGCGGAGATTTGGCATGCCCTGCTTGAGCTGTGCAGCCTAACGGGGGCCTTTGACGTCGCGGTGGAGTCCCTCAACCGCCTCATTGAGTTGAGCGAGCTGGTGGAGCGCGTCGAGGCGAAGAGGAACACGCGTGCGGTGCGGTGGGACGGGAACGATGCTGACAGGAACGAGAACGATAACGAGCAGGTCGACGAAGAGCACCAGCCGTCTGGTTTTACGCTAGACGGTGTGGTGGAAGTGGTAGAGGAGGAGGTGCGACACGCTTTTTCGCCAGTGCTGGCGCTTGATCATATTCGCGCCATGCGCAGCTGCGAACATGCACGCAACTTTGACGTCGCTCACACGTTGTTTCTGCGGTACATGCAGCACGCCCGGGGCGGTGTGTTTCCCCTGACAACTGGCGATATTACGGCTGCCTTGATTGCCCTCGCACACTGCTGCAGTAACACGGCCCACTTTGCGATGCTGCAGGAACTTTTTCTCGAGAGCGAGGCCGACCAGGTGGTTGCCGTCTCGGTGGAGTTGTACACCGCCCTCATTGACGCCGTAAGCCGGGCAAATGAAAATCCACAGTGTATGTCAATAGCACTTGCGCTTTACCGTCGACTGCGGGACGGGGGTCTGGCGCCCACGGCCGACACCTACGCTGCGCTCATTGCCTGCTGTGCCGCCACAAAGGAACCGACGCAGGCATTTGCCTTCTACCACGAGGCAAGGCACTGCTGCGGGGTCGAGCGCCTCTGCCCGGCGGTGTACACTAATTTGCTGCTGGCCTACGCCAGAGCCGGCTACGCCGCGGATGCGCGGGCGACGCTGGAAGTGCTTGTAGAGGCTGGTGCCCCGCTTTCTCGAGGTGCCTTTCACGCCGTGTTATCGGCCGCGCTAACGCTGCGGGAGGCGGAAGACGTACTTGGACTCATGGAAACACGATACAATATCGCGCCAACCCCGCAGACCTACGCGTACCTGCTTCAGACGGCAAGCACAAGGCCCAACGGTGCCTCCACCGTCCTCCAAATGTTTGACTGGCACGAGTTAGCCTTGAAGTCTCTCGCGAAGAGCAGCAGCCTCGTTAAACAGCGAATGCCAACGGCAGTACTTGATGGGCATTCAAGCCAGGTGGCAATAAGCACAAGTGCGTTGGCCACCTCATTAGAAGGTGACCTTTTCTTACGCTATCCGGCCTATGCGGAGGCTGTCGAAGGGGCGCTGGTGCGACTGCGCGTTGATCCTGCAGTGGATCCACGTATAGAGCCCTATCTGCGTCCACTACTCCGTGTGGCTCAGCTCCGTATGAATGACTTCACTGGGATGACTCCACAAGTGCCTACCCGAATTCCGAAAGGGGCGGCAATTGCGGTGCTGGCAGCGGACGTCCTTGCAAATCTTGATGACTGGTTTCTGCCATTTGCCGCGTACTACTCCGCGGTGGTGATTCCGTACTCTTCCCTTGTGGCGCTGCGAAACGGGGGAGGACGGCGTGTGGATGGGGCCTTTGCAACGGGCACACAGCAGCTGTTGGCCGACCCACAGTGGCGAGAGGTGGGTTCGGAGCAGCAGCTCATGCTGGAGAGTCGGCGGCGCGTACTGCTGAAGTTCCTGGAAACCTACCGTGACGTCATTCACTTGGTTTCGCTGGGGGAGGAACTGGCGCTCAGCTGCGATTGTGAGCGGTACGGTGTCGGGGTGCGAAAAACGTTCTCCCGCTGTGCCGCCTTTGCGCTGAACCTGGCACGCCTGGACGTGGCCAACACAACGAGGCTGTACGCCGAGCAGGCCTGCAACATCGTCCTGGTCTCTGCCAGCTTTGACAACTGTGGAAAGTACGTGGTTGGCCTGAAGCAGGAGGTTCGCCGCGGCGCGCGGGACGGCGACGGGCTCCGCAGACTGTCGGATGGGATGCAGCGGGTGTGGTACCACAACCCCCGCACAAGCCCGCAGTGGCGGCCGCCGCAGGTGTCTGTCGCTTCGCTCATTCACCCCCCTCGCCCTGAGTCGACCCTCGCACGAGCAACGTCGTTGAGTTTCTCCCGAAACTAACGAATGAAAAGAAGAAAGAAAAGAATAACAGAACTTAAATCGGAACGTGAGCCTGTTGTTGTTATTGTTGTTGGTTTTTTGGCATTATGAATATCGTTGCGACCCTCATGTGTAAAAACTTTGCGGCGTATTGAATCCTTCTCCTCCCTGACATGCGCTGCTGTGTCACTTACTGCTGTCTCCGCTGCTCTCGTTGTTGTTCAGTGTCCGCTGGGGTGGCTCCCTGCTTTGAGGAGGTGCAGCAAAGGCGGGAGTGAGAGGGACGCACACGCGCAGTCACACAGCAGGAGAAACGGCATCTCCTGCGAGCTGCGGGTAAGCAGAAGCCCATACGACGAAGAACAAGAAAAGGGTGAAGAAGTAGACGGTTTTGAATCGAAGAAGAGGGAAGGGACTCATCGCAGCTTTAGGAATGGCTACGCCAAAGCGGAAAGACACCATCTGCGAGGCAGCCATTGTTGCTTTTTCCTTCAATAAAGACTGCTCTGAGGCTGTCTTTTCGCCGAACAATCACCTTCTGTATATTGTGTCTTGCAAGGATAAGACGGATTGCACGACGTGGGAGATTGATGCCACATTGGAGCAGCATGATCAGTCCGTTTCCGCCACTGCCTGGCATGGCTCCACGAATCGTATTCTTTCCTGTTCGCAGGACCGTACCGCGTTTGTCTGGCAGTGTAATAGCAAAGGCAAGTGGAAGCCGCAAATGGTGATGCTGGATGCAGGCGTAAAGCGAGGTCTGACATGTTGTGCATGGAACCATTCAGGTTCGAAGGTGTATGTGGGTTCTGCCGCGGCAAATGTTGCGGTTGGGCGTTTTGACGCCGAAAATGAATGGTGGATATGTCGTTTGCTGGAAGGGCACACGAGTACGGTGACAACGCTCGCGCCGCATCCATCGGATGACGCGCTTCTAGCCTCTGGAGGCACCGACGGGAAGCTGAGGCTTGTCTCCACTTTCATGAAGAAATTGGATGAGAAGAAGACTGCCTCCTTTGGTCATGTCTACCTGGAGAAGAAGTTTGGGGCATGGGTGCACGCTGCCGCCTGGGCGCCGTCAGGCCGACGCTTTGCAGTTGCAACCCATGATAGTCGGGTGCACGTCTTTGATGTGCCCACCATTGAGCGTCTCTGCGCGGGAGCGGAGGAGGCCGTAACGATGCACCGCATCAACTTGGCGGTGCTTCCCCTCAAGTCGCTTGCCTTCGTGTCGGAGGATCACCTCGTTGGAGGGGGTTTCGACTACTTCCCTGTACTCTTCACGCCGTCTGCCGAGGCCGGCGGCTGGAGACTCTCGGGCAAGTGGACCGCGTGCCAGACGCGAGGGGTGAAGACGGCGCAGCAGGTTGCCCGTGAGAAGTTCCAGAACGAGGCACGCATGGGCCAGGCGGAGGTCCTTGACGAGGGGCAGACACGCCACAAGAACACCATCAACGGCGTCCTCCGCCTCCGAGGCGATGCTGGTGCGGCTTTCAACTCTGACTTGAAGGAGCCCGTTTTTGCCACGGCGAGTCTTGATGGGCGTGTTGAGGCCTGGACGATGGGAGAGATGGTGTCGATTACGTAGTGGAGTGCTGCCGGGTGAAAGGCAAAGAAGGGGAAAAAAAACACACACATACATACGCATACATATTGCCGTTTACCCAAACCTCTTCCTTCCTGAAGCATTTTTTTCTGCGTGAAAGTAAAGACCCAAATTTCCTGTGCAGTTCCGTGTCCTATTGTACGCCTACTGAACTATTCACATTTGCACAGAATCAAATACATGTGCCATTATAGTTATGTTTTGTTCTTTTTTTTTGTCTCTCGCTGTGCTCATTGGTACGGTGTGAGTTGTAAATTGCCGTGGAGAACGTATTTCCTTTACCTAGCTTTCTCCTCTTGTGTTTATTGACCCTCGCAGTGTTAGCTCCGCTTTCTTGCTCTTTTCTCTGTCCAGGTGGGGAGAGGAGGGTGCAGAGAGGCAGCCTGAAAAGAAAAAAAATTGTGGGTCTGCGCGGCATGTGGCGAGGATGGCGAGGGCAGCGGATTCTGTCCTGTTTTACGGTGCGGTGGAGAAGGTTGGGACGGATGGCTCCATCCTGTCCCGCAACGTGTGCCTCACACCATTAGCGCTGCTCGTCTGCCTGCCCGCGGGCGGAGTCACGCGGACGGTGGCGCTCGCCAGCGTTCTGCAGTTGGAATTTACAAAGCAGGACGTGGCTGGTAAGCCGCGCTGCACGATACATGTGCGCGGCGAGGCACCTCTGACACTCGACTTCGCCGATCAGAGCGGGGCGGGCGACTTTGCCGACGCCGTCGCCAAGGCGACAGGCCACGTGCGGGTGGTGCACCTCGCTGGGACGCCGCTGCGGGAGAGGCAAGTCCGCTCGGACGCCCCGCACGCCGCACCGAGAGGAGTGCGCTTGGTCGATCCACCCGAACTGTCCGAGCCGTCGTCGTTGGCTGCGGGGAACGAGAGGTGGCTCGGAGTGCCGTCGCCGTCGCCCTCCGTGGAGCCGGGGAGTCGTGCCAGGGCCCAGACCCTCGCGAGGCCCGCGGAGGCGTTGGCGATGGTTGGGCGAAGGCCGGCGCTGGGTTCGAAGGCCGGCGGTGCGCGTGGCGACGGCGCAAACTCGGACTTGCCCCCCGAGAGCCACGCCTCTCCGCTTCGCCGTGAGGCATTCCACGATCCGCAGCGGGCGGGCAGCCAGGACGCGAATGGTGCCTCGGCCGTCGTGTACGACCTCCGGCGCCCGGCGGAGAGCTCTCTATACACCAGCGATATAACGCGACCAAGGACGGCGCCGCGCAACGACGCAGGTGAGCATGCCACCCTGTGGCAGGAGCTTGAAGGGCAGCCGCAGCCGCATGTTGAGTCGCTTCACGACCTTCGTGCCCAACGGGACTCGCTGGCGAAGCTTCAACAGCGTCTCTCAACGGATTTGGAGTTGCAGAAACAGGCTGTGGGTCGTCTCAGCAGCGAGTTGCAGGAGAAGAATGCGTTTATCGATGACCTAAAGACGGCGCTGCGCTCTCAGGAGGCCGTGTTTCAGGAGATGCTGCGATCCACAGAGCAGCGACGTTTGATGGAGCATGCCAAAAACGAGCTGGAGAAACAAGTGGAGGTGCTGCAGGCGGAGGTGCGTCACTGGGAGAGCCTCAGTGAGCGTCGAGAATCCGAGTATAGAAAGGAACTGGCAACGAAACTCGCAGAGTTGCATGACTCGCACACCAAGGAAGTAGAGGCGGTGCAGGGGGCCTTTGCGGAGTACGACGCCGAGATGACGGAGTACGTTTCGAGTCTTCTGACGGACATGGATCGCGAGGCACGCAAGTGGGGGGAGCAGCAGCGACTGCTCCAGGACCAAATTGAGAGTCAACAGCAAGAAATTGCGGAACTGACGAGTGCCCTTGCGCCGCGGCGAGTTGCCGTGCCTGACTCCAATTCCGCGTCTCCCGCACTTGCCGATGTTGAGGCAGAGGCAGAGTCGGGAGCTGGAGAGGCTGATTGTGTGGACGAAGATGGCAAGGCATCGCTGTTGCAGCGCCGGCGCGAAGCCGCGCGACCATCCCGGCGTCCTACTTCGCCTGCGACCGCAATGTCGGCGTTGGGGCAACGCTTGGCGTCGTTGGAGGAGGGGCGGGCACGTCTACAGTTGGGTGAAACGCTGCGCCGCTACGCCCACAGGCGCGGTCATGAAACCGGTAGCGGCGCCTTCGGCGGCCATGCGGAGCGGGAGGGGCAGCAAGTGCGCGGCCGAGCGGCGGCTGAAGCTGCGGCCGCGGCGTCGCCACAACTTCTGCAGACGCCTCTTCTCGGGCAGGAAGCGGGGAACGAGGCGCCGTCGCGGTTGGTGTCCCCTGGCGAGTCGCGCGGTGTCCGTAGTCGCGCCATTCTCTGAGAATGAGAGGAGCACAAATGACTTCTTTTTTTTTTCTCACTCTTCTCTTTCTTTCTCTGTCGCATTGTATTCTTAACTTCCCCCCCCCCCCCCACTCGTTGTTTCTTGTGAAACGGGTGGTGAGTGCTGTTTGTTTGTTTTATTCAAATTCGTTCCGCGCCGACCATTACAAACGAGGTGCGTCGCTATTGTGCACTTCATGCCTTTATTCGCCTCCCCCCTTCCCCCCTTTCTCCTTCTCTCATGCGTCGTCGTCGACGGGGCGCAGCTAAGGAAGCCATTATGTCTCTCTCTCCGTATCACTTGCACTGGTCGGACGCGCTCATCAAACGCGTGGAGTTGCGGCTGCGGCAGGTGCATGCCTCGCTGGAGGAGTTCTACCGGCAGAAGAATTATTCTGCCGTGGCCCATGCAACCGCGACTGCCGAGGAAGACGCGGCGCGGCGCCAGCAGGAGGAAGGCCCTATCAGCTCTGTGGGTAGTTTTCTTCTGCGCACGTGTGTGCACTCCACGCCATTCTACGAAACTCAAGTGGAGCACGGCGTGGGGGCGGACATCGCCCTCAAGATTCCCGAGGAGGTGTGCTCGCTGAAAGACATCCATGATGGCCACTACTTGGAGCGACGGCAGGTCTTTCTGCGCAAGCTGGAAAAGTTCATGGGGAAGTACAACGCGCAAATGATGAGGAAAGCCACACAGGCGTCCGCCGCAGCCGCAGCAAAGGGAGAAGATGATGAGGAAGTGGAAACGGAGGGGCCTGAACGGCGGTCGGTTGTTCAATGGGACCTCCGCCGCGTTCCTGTTGGCGGAAGTTTCGTGAACACAGAGAAGGAGCTGTTGCGTGTCTACTTCCTCCGCCCCAGGCATGGCGCAACCCGGCGGGAGGTGTTTCACGTGGACGTCCACCTGCAGCCGATTTCCCTCACGGGCCGCATCGCAAGCGCGGCGGCCATTCGCAAGCACCCGCTCTACAGCTATCTTGTGCAGGAAGACGGTCTCATGACGGTGCACCTCCGCAGACTGCACGAGCTCTACTCGAAAAACCAGTCCTTGGTACGCGCCACCGTGTTCCTAAAGTGCTGGGCGTACCACGTCGGACTCATGTCACGCACCTCGGGTCACCCAGAGGGCTTGAGTGGGTTTCACATTTCTGCGCTGCTGCTGCGCCTTGTCGAGGAGGGTCTCATCTCGCCTAACATGTCGGAGGAGAATGTTGTGCGCGCGGTGTGGGTGCAGCTTTCACGTGGGTTCACGCAAAACGCGAGCCACAGCAGCGGCCAAGAGGCGCCCATTCCAGCAGCAGAGGAGCGTGGTGAGGTGGCGGTGCTGCGCTTGGCAGGGGAAACCATGAATTTGCTCTTCCGCACATCCGCGGCCTTCTTCCAGAACATTGTTAAAAAGGCTGCCGAAGAGGCGCTTCAACTGTCACACCACTCTGAGGTGTTTGTGGCAGTTCCCTTTCAACCGCTGCAGCTTCGCTTGGATGTCTGCTTCACCGTGGATGGCCTCCGCGACCACTTCGCAGAGGCGGACAGCACGCCTATTGCTAAGACAACTAGTGTCGCGTGGTCTCCCTCAGCGCAGCGGGTGCAGGCGATACAAAGACTTGTTGAGGAGGCCCTTGGCGCACGCTCCAGCTACGCAACTGTGTGGCGCCGAAGCCATGACTCCGTGCACGTTGCGGTGCGGCTGACCACGGAGGCGGAGGGGCGAAACCGCCTCACGCGTGGCCCTGCCGTGGAGGACGCCGAGGCTGTGGAGCGCTTCAATGCCTTCTGGGGGAAAGATGTCACGTCAACGCGGCAGTTTCCAGATGGGGGTATTTACCGCTGCGTCTTGTGGACGTTTGACGAGGACGCTGGCGCCAATACAACCGTCGCGCTCTCTGCGGCAACTGTGATGCGCCGCGTGTTGGAGTTTGCCCTGCAAAAACACCTCGCCCCCTCCGCACAGGTCTCACAGCTTCTTGGCGGCCTTGAAGGGGCACTGGCGGAGCGTGTTGGTGGGGAGTGGCGCGATGCCGCCCCAATGATGCAAAAATCATTATTGGAGGCGTGCAGGCACATTGAGGCGATGGTGGCTGAGGTTCCACGCACGGCGCTACCGTGCAAGGTCACCTCCTTGGACATCATCGCACCCAGCGAGCGCCACACAGCCACGTTTCCCGTACGCCCGCATCTTGCTCTCACGTACACCACCGATGACCTCACACAACCAAACTTTGCAGGGCTCACCACGGAGCCGACCATTGAGCCGGTGCACGGCGTCCTGACAATTGACGATAAGAATAAGATCCCTGATACACCCGAGGCCATTGCCGCAATTAAGGGAGCCATTTGTGCGCAGCTGTCCAAGGTGCTGCAGGAGTACTACGGCGATGACAAGAAGCATAGTAGGTCACGATCAAAGAGGTCTCTGAAGAGGGAGGAAGGAGCTCCGCAGCAAGAAACACAACCTGAAGCTCAAAAATTTCGCATACGTACATCGTGTACGAGTCATTCGGTGGATATCATTTATAAAGGTTATCTCTTTCGACTCTATATTGCGCACTATCGTGAGGTATCCCTGCTCAAGGCGCTGCAACGCGAATCCGAAGCTGCCATGATTGAGCGTAAACTCTTCTGGAGTGTACAACACGCCAAATTTTTGCGCACCGTGGCGTTTGGTCACCACAGCTATGCTATGGCCGCCCGGTTGTCTAAACGTTGGTTGAGTGCAATGCTTCTTCTTGAATTTGTTCTGCCAGAGGCGGTGGAGCTGATCGTTGCCAATGCGTATCTGGGTTCAAATCCTCCCAAGACCTCGGTGGGTGGGTTTGTGCGCTTTCTGCAGCTACTTGCCACTCATGATTGGTCAAGTCCGCTGGTGCTGCCGTATTCTGTAGATAGTAGGCTGCAAGCAGACACAGCGGAGCTTGTGCGGACCATGGGTGAACAGCAGGGTATGTTCATTGCCACCCCATATGCGCCAATGGAGAGCCCCTTCACGGTCCACACTCCACGACCCATGATTGTGCACCGTGTGGTGCAGCTAGCGAAAAGCGCTTTGGCGGTGCTGCTGGCTCAGCTTGATGGAAGAGAGACGTTGCGGTGCTGGGAAGGCTTGGTCTTCACAACAGACCCGGCCACCTTTGATTTTCACATGGCATTTCATCCACATCTCTTGCTTCAGCCGGGCCGTCTCCTGGTGCCTCCCTCTGCCGTTACGAATATCCCGTCAGCGGCGGGAACGAGTGCTGCTCTGTCGCCGTTCCTTGGCCCTGTGTCGGTGGGAGCGGCTACGTCGTCCGCTGCGTCAGGCCCACAGCCTCCGCGTATTTGGCAACTGGATGAGCTGGAAGAGGACCGGAGTCGTGTGTATTTGACGGAGCTTGTCGAGCGGGAACCCACCGCACACGTAGTACGAAGCGTGCGTGCGGTGACGAGGGATCGTTGCATGGTCTTCTACGACTGCCTTGCACCTCATGGCATCTACGTGGTTACCATCACACCTGCCCCCATGCGAGAGGTCTGCGTGCGGCTCCACAACGACATTCTCCGCGTCAGCCACGGCGCGCTGCTTCCTTCCCCCTCCCTGCCGGACGTTGGGGCCGCAGCGGGGAAGGCAAAGTTGGAAGGAAAGGCGCCCAGCAAGGCCGCCGTGAAGTCCGCGGGGAGGAGGGTCATTGCCCCCGCGGCCGCAGCCAAAGCTGACGCGGACGCCGCGGCGGCGGAGGTCGCACGAAAGAGTTCCGGGAAGAAGGACGAAGGGGCGAGGCCACCGAAGCGACGCCGGACGGACGACGCGGATGAGGCCGCCGGAGCGACGCAGCGCCCCTACCGTCTCCAGGGGCAACGTCGTCAGGCACCGACGCATGCCGCGGCGGCGGGGAAGAGGGACCGGGCGCCAGGACCAGCAAACACGAAGAAGGAGGTAAGACGGGCATAATGGAGCCACGGCGCCCGACACCCTGCATACGATTAAACGCATCCGTTGCGCTTGACGCCATAAAAGAAAAGAGAAGAAATGAAAAACAAAACAAAAAAAAAGAACAGAAATGCGGGGCATTCAAGCAACATAACAAAGGAGGGAGAAAAAGACATGTGTAATGAATTGTGATGAGGGTGCGATAAGCAAAACAAAACAGAAACAAGGACAGTGAGGCAGCGAAAGAGGGGGGCTTAAAGGCACCACTCTTGGGCGATGATTAACTGTCACCGAGATGTTATTATCTGGAAAAGTATACTAAGCGTGCTTTTCTGTTCTCTTTTTTTTTCGCCCGCTTTTCGTTTTTCTTTGCTTTGCTTTCGCTTTTAGGCGCTGTATGTTGCGGTGGTTTACTCCACGACTGCTGCCGCAAAAAAGGCTCAAGGCGAATTCGCTTTCTCTGCCTCTCCGGCGTGAGGGCTCGCCTCGTCGCGTGCTGCGCCGCGGGAGTCTCCTTGCGGAGTTGGAGCGAACCCCCGACGACGGCAGGGGCGTGGCGTCGGCCAACGGTGTCGCCGACGCAGCGGCAGTGACATCGTCGCCTGCGTCGTCGTCGCCGTCGTCGGTCCCTCACAGTGACAATTACCTTGTTCCGTCACCGTGCGCCAAAAAACTTGCGAGGGCCTCCATGGCTCTGGACGCACTGGCACAGCACACCTCCGTCGTTTCAGCTCGTTCAGGTGAGGCCAACGCTGGACCGCCATTTCCCTCCCTGGACACGCTGAAGGCGCAGCAAACGGCACTTAGAACGATGTTTGCCGGCGCAAAACGCCGCTGTATTCGTATGCGGAAAGACCGGGGGTGGTTACGAGAGGAGCGGCGCGTCTTTCAGAAGTCCCATGGACACGCTCCGTCGGATAAGGAGGTGAGTCCATTTGTCGATGTTGAGCTTTCTCCTGTGGCAGCGCTGAAGCTAGCAAAACACCTGTCGCCGCACTCAAGCGCTCGTGAGGCGGTAGTGCAGAGTATTCTTCTCCAGCAAAATGCCACAAGGAGCCGGCTTGTGGAGAGTGGCGAAAAAACTCTGTTCCGATGCCTTCGCTGCTTTCACGTGTATTCTGCTCGTCCTCGAACACTTCTTCGTGACGAGGTGGGACACAGTTGGATGCAGTATGAGGCGGAGCGACAAAAGGTTTCCATGGCACGGGAGTTGGCAAGGTGCCCTCAACTCCGTAAGCGGAAGTACAGCGTTGGGCAACAGCGCAAGGCTCTCGCGGATGACCCACGCTGTTGCCCGTCCTGCGGTAGCCCAAAGGCGCAGTGGTTCATGGAATACGTGCATCACAGCACCCATGCCTGAGACACCTCGTCTCTCTATCCCGTGATTGGTAACTCTAAACCCTGTCTTCTGTTGTTTTATTGATGGCGTTGTTGAATATTGGCCTCTGCATAGTTTCTTGTGGCATTTTTGGCGCTATTATTATGGGGCTCATTTTTTCCGGTTTATTTCTGTCTTACATTCCCGGTCCCTCTTCAGTGGGTTTGGAAGGGCAATGGAGCGGTTGTGGCGTACGCGTGGGCATGGGTGGGGCGTGGCTTCCCCAAAGAAGTTGCTGCGCCTCGCTTTCCTGTTTCTGCTTTCTGCGGCCGTTGCCTCTTGCCTGCTGCTGGGAGTTAGCTTTCAGAGTGAGTGGAACAATGACAAAGGGCACGCGCGGGAGGTGCTCAGCAAGTCTAATGCACCTCATCTTGCCCGCTTCTCCACGCAGCACAAGCCCCCACGTGAACTTCCGCAGACGGACACCAACAATGCCTTTTCGGCCGCGGCCTCATCGGCGGCGTCGTTCGCGGGGTATGCGCCTACAGAGATCGTGGTGCAAAACAACCCCGGCACCATCAACCACGCCGTATTCGCGAACAGCAGCGCCGACGGCGGACCGTTTATCACGAAACTGAAACGACTTAGCTACTGCCACTACGAGGTTCACAACTTTTGCGTAGATCGGGGGACGCTGTTGTTTTTCCATGACCCGCTGCAGGGAGCACGCAGGGTTCAGCGGGGCCTGCGTGCATGTAATGAGTTTTCCCGCCACAGTCCATCCATATACATTAAGTATTGGTCCATTCCGCTTCCGAATTCCACGCTGCTGCCTCTTCCTGCGCCGCTTAACACTGTCACCAAGGGATGGATTCTGCAATTTTGGTGCCAGGATCTTTTCCACATGACCCTTTCGCTTCTTCCGGCGTTTCAAACCAAGCAAGACGTTGGACAGCACGACGCTGACGTGTACATTCGAATTGCGAGAGGCATACGGAGAAAAGGTGGCTATTGTAACGTCAAACTTGGCGACCCACGGAACTTTGAGAATCCGAGGAACATGAAATACGGTCAGGACCGTCAATTTCCGTTCGCAGGAAATCCCTATTGGCCCTTCTACCGGATTTTGACCAATCGTCCAGAGAAGATTCATCCGCTAAAGTCTGGCCAAAGTCTGCAAGCCGCGTGCTACCAACACGGTGTCATTGACAAACGCTACATCAAGAGCATGATGGGTGCGGAGGCGTGGAACTACAGTGGCCGGGTTTTGGAAATGATGGGGGTGCCGCCGGGACAACCACGACCTTGCGGGAGCAGGTACCGTGCCACAGTGATTGACCGACGAGGACGCACACGCCGGCTAAGTAACATACCCGATATAGTTCAACTTGTGCAAGGTATGGGATTTGAGCCCCGGGTTGTGGCCTTTGAGACGCTTCCCATTCGAGAACAACTCCGCATTGTTACAATGACCGACCTCTTGATTGGCGTGCATGGCAATGGGCTCATGTGGCTACAATTCCTGCCCCCAGGGTCCGCGGTGATTGAGCTGGTTGGGGTGTGGTATACACCCTACGCGCTGCTCTGGGGGCACAGCTATTTCCACTCCAGGGACTGGAATAACCCCGAGTACAAGCAGCGAGGCGAGTACCACCCCTTTGCGCACAACATGACCGAGATAGGCGAACTTCTGAAGAAAGCCAAAGAGGCGCTTAACCGTACGCGATGCGGAAAAACACCCTTTACCCCGCCAAATAAACAACTTGCCAATCTATACTTTAGTTGTGCGCCGCACTGTTGACACCGGGTGCATGAGGGGGCGGAAATGGGTGGGGTGATTTATCGAGGCGCGCGTGCGTCGTTGCGGGTATTGTTTGTGTCGGTGTCTTTTTTTGGTAGATGCAGTCCTCTTCTTCAATAGTGTTGTTATTGTTGCTATTTTACACCTTCATTTGTTTTTGTCTCTCTCATAGCAATTGCTGGTTGTTGTTGTTTTTTTTTTTTTGGGGGGGGGGTGAGGTCGTTCCAGTTTTTGTTCTCAGGTAGATTAACATAAAAGCAAAACGAACCACGTAAACGAATCACCATAATAATAATAATTAAAAAGTGGTTTCTGAAGACATTAGCAATGCGGAAGCGGGTGCCGCAACCCCAACGGAAGGACATGCTTCTTCAAATTGCCTCGTGCTCGGACGTCACCCTGTTCTTTCTTAGTTGTGGGGCCCGTCTGCTTGTGCTACTAATGATGTTCGTGTCGTACGCCGTGCTGCCGAGGTTACTTCACACGGAGCTTATTTTCGACACTTCTGGGCTGCTGCACAACGACACGGAGGGTCAATGGGGGTTTCTTGACTTCCCCCGCAATTGGGACGCTGTCCACTTCTCTCACATAGCTAAATACGGATATTCGCATGAGAACACGTGTGTTTTTTCCCTCTTGTTCCGTTTCTCTTTCGTATTATGTCATGGCTGAACAAGTTTTTTATGCCTTCCTCTTTCGCCGTTGTTCCCGTTTCCTTCCAGGTTGCTCTGCTAAATACGGTGCTGAACGGCGTCTCCGCCATTTTTTTGCGACGCATCACGGTCGCGACGCTTCTGCGACCCAAAAAGACGGAGGGGGGGAAGGGCGTTGGTGGCACCTGGCTGGATGAGCTGCCACCGCCGCCACCCCCGCGGCATGGGGGGAGAAAAGGGGAAGACCGGGAGGAGGACGTCAGGCTGAGGCTGAGGCGGGAAGTGGGTGCGGTGCTTCTGATGTGGCTTATGAGTCCAACAGCTGTCTTTACCGTGGTCGCCTACACAGAGAGCATCTTCTCTTGCTTGACTTTTGCGGGATTGCATTTTCTTCTGCTTTCCTCGGAAGAAAGTAGAAGCTTGGTTGCGGCAACTAAAGAAGCGGGCGCCGTGTTTTGTTTTTCACTGGCAGGATGGGCCCGCTCAAATGCCCTTCTTTATGTGGGATTTTTATTATATCCCATTTTTCTGCAGGTTTTTTTCTTTAACACGTACCGGAGGCGTTGCATCCAATGCCACGGAAGCTCCAAGTTGTGTCGTCGCTGGCCAAGCATTGGACGCTGCGTAGTACTCCTCTTAGAAATTCTTGCCATTTGTGCCCCCTATCTTTGCATGACGTACTTTTGCTTCACCCGCTTTGTGCCGCTCTGGGACTCCGCAACAAAGCTGAACACCGATGGACACTTCTGGTCCTTCTACGGGTGGATCCAAAAGCGTTACTGGGATGTCGGGTTTCTTGCCTCTTACCGAATGAAAAATCTCTCAAATGTATTTATCGCCGCCCCCATCGTATTTTTTGCACTTCGAGGTTTTCTGCTGTTTCATGTGCTTCCTGTCTTCGCCAAGGTGTCCACTTCAGTACCCAACGAAAGCGCCGGAAGCGGCAATGGAGGCCGACGCAATAAGGCAATTGAAAAAAAAACGCCACGCTCTTATTTCACCTCCACGTTTCGTATTGTGGAGGGTTTGGTTCAGTCCTCGAACACAGTCTACCTTGTGGCCGTGATTTTTATTGGGGTCACTATGGTGCATGTGAACGTGGTGAATCGTTTCATTATGTCCTCCCCCGCACTGTATTGGATTTGGGCTCGACAGCTTGTGTGGGATCCGTGGGGAGGCTGCACAATCGTGATGCTCCGCATCTTCGCAGCGTGGACATGTATTGGGGCTCTTTTTTTCCCCAATGGCATGCCGTGGACATAATTGACTAGGCACTCCATTGCCTCCTGCTCCTTACCTACCTCTATCGCTCTTTCCACGCGTGAATACGTCTGCCACCTACGAGACAACTGTCTAGAGGTGTGTTTTCTTTCGAAGGTCGTCCGGTTGTTGTTGTTTTTTTTCTTTTTTTTATTGCTTCCTCACTCTACCAACTAACTTCCATCCTTTTTCTCTTTGTATTTTTGTTGTTGCTGTGGCATTTTCTACGTGCGCTTCCCCCCTCTTCCCTTTCGCTTTGATGTGTCTTATTTCTCTTCCGCCGTTTGTGGTGGTTTTTTTTGTTCCGTTTGGGCGCAGGGGTGTGTGTTTGTTGTTTTTCCCCCGCGTGGCGTGGGCAGGTGCGCGGTCTGCGCGCAGAGTTGCGTTTTGCTGTAGGAGGATGAAGCAGGCCGCCAGCGGCCGCAAGGCGACAGCAAAGGCACGGGCAGCCCCAACGCCGCCTGGCAGTCGCTCCAAGGCGGCGGGGCCGGTGCCCGCCTCGGGCTTCAAAGACGGCGGCAGCCGCCCCAAAGGAGTCCCTGCACGCGGGGCGAAAACGAACGCCGGACGACGTCCCTCGATGCGGAGTGGGGCGCCGGGGCCAAATGCTTCCGCGACACACGGGACGTATCGTGAGGCGCCCCTGTTGGGGACTTCTATGTATCTGTTGCCGCAACGGCGCCGCACATCGCCGCTAGGCGTGTCTTTTTTTTGTAGTTTCTTCGTTGCCAGGATGCGACGCACAATCGACCGGTACCGCCAGCGAGTGAAGTGGGAAGCGGTGGAGAAGCCGCGAGCGGCTTTTTTGATACAAACCGCATGGCGCAAGCGCAAGCAGCGGCGGCGGATGAGGCTTGTGGTTCTATCGAAGGTGTTTGTCCCCCTACTGCGTCGGAAACTGGGACGCATTCGCGCGGCGAAGGAAAGTTCCGCCCTTCTGCTCCAGCGTGTTTTTAGGTCGCAAAAAGAGCGACACTTTATGCATTGGCTGTACCAACAAATGAAGTACGGTCGGGCGCTTGCGTTGCTGCGTATGCGACTAAAGCGGTATGTGGCAAGGCAGTATGTGGCCTTTCTTGCGCTGCAACGCGATGAGCGGGTGGTGTGGGAGGAGCGCTGTGCCATGGCTTCACTTTGCATCATCCGCGACGAACGCAAGGAGCTGCTTTGGATTTTGCGGTGCATGAAGACAACCTCACTTATGGCTTTTACACCCTTGGGGGCAACCGACATATTCACGCATGAGGAGACGCGCAGTGCTGGGTGCTGTTCCCTTCCCCCGCTTTCGCGGACCGTGCCTAGGTTCCAGCCCACCCGTCTCGTGCATGCCTCAGGGTCGCTGCGGAGGCACGAGGCCCTGCTCGAGGGAACTTCAAAGACCGCAGCTCGTGTGGATGCCGACGGCGACAGCGACGGCCCTGTGGCGCGAAACAACAGCGGTAGCGGAACGTCCTGTCTGGGTGGAGGTGGTGCGCTCGTCTGGACCTCCTTGTTGCACAATGAGGAGGGCGCGCGCCAGCTGGTGCGGGAACTCTTCGCCCCCAAGGAGCCATGCTACCCTCTCGCGCGGACGGAGCTGCGGCAGAGACCCACCAGCGGAGACACTGAGAAGACGGTCGCGAAGTCCTTTATTTCTCAGGGTGGTCGCTCCACCGAGACCGAGGGACGTCGGTCGTTGCGGTTGAGTGACGCGGCGGGAGGAAGAGCCGCCTCCGCCAAAGGGCGGCCCAATGTGGCTTTTGCCGTCGCAAGGCTGCCGCTGGATGACTCCGGGGCCTCAGTGCATCACCTGATGGAGGCGTTTATTAGCCTACTCATTTGCACGGAATCCACAGAGCGAAAGGCACTGGAGTTGGAGCTCCAGAGCCGCCAGAAGGACTTGATGAAAACAATGAATCGTTTTGTGTCCGCCATTCACGCCTCTCACATCGCCCCAGCGGTGTACCTTCCGCTTCTTTCAGCGCTGGGGGACACGTGGGTGGTGCGTCGCGCCGAGCAGCTTTTTCGTGAAGAGTATGAGGCGCGACTGAAACTTGTGGAGGAGTACCAACTGACGCCGCTTCGATTTTTGAACCGCCCCCTGCTTAACCTGGCGGCGGAAGAGAGGCGGCGGCGCTTGCAAGAGCGCCTGCAGACAATGCAAAGACGGGAGAAGGAACGAGTGGAGCACGCTGGTGTGGCATCGCTGCTGCCGGCTGCCGTCGCCACGAACACGCCTTGGCTGGAGGAGGGACAGGCCATGCTGCGTTTTATGACTGACGTCTCTGCCCCAGGCAGGCCAGTGAGCCGAGAAGCCCTTGCCGAGGCCTCGACGTTGAAAACGCGATACCCGACCCCGCACGCTGGGCTTCCACAACCAGCACCGCCGTCGCCGCCGCCGCGAAGGGCGCACGAGAACGCCGTGGCCTCCAGCGTTCCACTTGCAACTTCCGACGGAAGCGCCAGGCGACGAGCACACAGGCACGGCAACTCCCTCGCCACGGCGGGGAGCCCGGCGTTTTCGTATGCCGTGCCGACAGAGTGGGCGTCACTCCCCGGCCACTTGCCTATTGGACCGACGCATCACGATGCATTTGCGGATGGCAAAAGCGGTGCTCCTCGAGACACACCGTTGGCGCGGATGTCGCCCACTCCAATAGGCCATCCCGCGTGCCCTATTGTTCAGCTTCCGGCCATAGCTGGCTGTCAACACAGGAGTACGAAGAGCACAGAAATTAAAAACGGCACCGGTGTGACGGAGATTCAGTCGTACCATACAAGTCACCGCCCGCAGTTTCCCACCCCTCGCTTAGTCAACGAATGCCAGGGGAGTCTGCGGCAGAAGAGGCCCGTGACTACCCGCCCGGAAAGCGCCAGTGGTGGCGTAGATGCCACAACGACGCAAAAGGGTGGGGAGCTTGGGATCTACTCCACCAACTGCGGCTCCCAACGCGGGGTGCCCATTCCACTCCTGCGCTATTCCTCCAGGCCAGAGCGCAGCCACGTGTTTGCGTTCCCGCGCCCCTCCTTTGCCCTCGGGAACGATTCAGTTACGGGCAAGGAAAGTGGCGCCGACTACGTTCGAATAGGCCTTCGCTGCCCGTCGCCAAATCGGCCCGCCACAGGGCTTACGGGCGTTGGTGACTCCATAGGGCCCACGCAGTCAAGCTCGTGCAGAGAGCAACCTTCTTCTTTCAGGGTACAGAGTGAGCAGGCCTCAATCGCGAGGAAGCAAAGAAGGAGGTTGCCTGAAACCTCCAGCCTGAGCTTTGTAAGTTAGTCGTTTGGAATAATGGATTTCGAAGTGAGACAAAAAAAAAAAAGAGAAATATAGAGAAGCTGGAGGGGAGTGGGCGCTGCAGAGTGGCACATCCTGCTTCGCTCTCTAGGTAGGCTATAGCTATGTAAAATACACGTTCCAATACATCTCACTATCTCTCTCTCTGTTTCTCCCCTTACCTCTCACACTCTGTGCATGTGCCTCACTGCCACGTTTGAGGAACTATTGATTTTGTGTTGGGATAATGGTGGAGCAAAGGCAACTTCAATGTGCTCTTGTGCACCCTGCCGGCACATGAATAAACACCGCCCCTTCCTCTTTTATCCCTCCCTCCCTTTCTTGCGCACACTTCTGTTGCTCGTTGGAAATGAGAAAGGGAAGAGGAACGTGTTGTTAGGCTGCACAGTGAAGAGATGGGGCGGCGCCGCGTTGGTGGGAACTCGCGTGTGCTGCGCAAAAAGAAGCTTAAACTGTCCAAGCGGACTTCCACGGTAGATGACATTTCCGCGGTGGTCGCCGCAGCTGCGGGCGTGAAGAAGACCACACATTTACGACTTAAAAGGTCTGGTAGCCGGGTATCGTCGGGGAAGCAGCGGGCTGCCGCACTGGAGGCGTTGCAAAAACAGCGCAGTCAACTGCTGAAGCAGCAGGCCGCCGAGCGCATGGTGCTAAAAGAGCACACGAGGGAGTTGGAGGCACGCCGGCAACGGATACGCAAAGGTGAGAACGCAAAGATGGAGCGCCGGGAGCTGGGGAAATACATCCGTCAGCTAAGGGAGGAGCAGAAGGCGAAGCACCACTCGGAACTCGCTGCCGTTGAGGAGGCGGTGAAGAAACACGGCGGTAAGAAGGCGTCCGACATGAAACGTGACGCCGATGAATGGGAGGACGTGGAGGATGACTCGGAGGAGTTTGACGAGGACGAGCTGCAGGGCATGTTTGCCCACTTGACCACCTAGCGGTGACGCCTCTGTGGGAAAAGCCCTGAGTCTCTCTCTTTTGTGGTCGTTGTTTTGTTTTATTTTCTCTCCTTCCCTTTATTGACATGGGAGGCGTGGTGGGGGGGGGGCGCCCCCCCACTCGCTCCCGCGGAAGGGATACTGCAGGGCGAATGAGTCGCGAAAGAGGGACGCCAAGAGTCGCCGCTGTCGCGAGGTAAACACCGATTAAACATAATGAAACGGCCCCAAACAGACCCTGGCGAAGCCTCAGTAGCAGTTGCAACAAACCAAACCATGAAGAAGGGGGAGTGTGCCCCCATTGGTTGGCGAACTAAGTTTCACATCCATGCTTTCCGGCCTCCTCCTCTTCTACTACTTATTCACCAGTCTATTACCAAGGTAAGGCGTACGAAGCGATCATAAATTGCGTTATTGTTACTTTGGTCTGTGAAGAGTGCTTGGAACGCCTGTTTGCAGCAATGTCTGCCGCGGCTGCCTTGCTCTCAGAGGCTGCTCTTGCTTGCAAGGCAAAGATGCAGGCGGCAGGTGTGAGCGAGACGTGCATTCGAACCTTCCTGGCCCAACATGACGTCATCAGCAAGGGAGAAACAGGCAACATCCCTGAGAAAAGTATTTCGCCTGTGGAGTCTCTTGACTCGCTTGAGAACCTCACCGCGCCTGTGGACCGTTCTCTACTCGAGCACGTGGTGCTGCTGAAGCTCAATGGCGGCCTTGGCACCGGCATGGGACTACACACGGCTAAAAGTCTCCTTCCCGTCAAGGACGGCAAAACATTCCTTGACTTCACTGTACTGCAGGTGGAGCATCTTCGTAAGGCTTACAGTGAGCGCCTGCGTTTCATGCTGATGGACTCCTTTTCCACATCCGCTGACACGAAGGAGTACGTAAAAAAATACCCATGGTTATTCGACACCTTTGACGCAGAGGTGGAGCTGATTCAGAACCGTGTGCCAAAAATTCGCCATGACGATTTTTTCCCCGTTAAATATGAAGCGGACCCATCATGCGAGTGGGCTCCACCGGGCCATGGAGACCTTTACACGGCACTCTATGGCAGCGGTAGGCTGGACGAGTTGATTCGAAGTGGGTATAAATATATCTTTGTGTCCAACGGTGACAACCTGGGGGCGACTCTGGATGTGCGTCTCCTCGCCTATATGGAGACACACCAGTTGGACTTTCTCATGGAGGTCTGTCGGAGGACGGAGTCCGATAAAAAGGGTGGCCACATTGCATACCAAAGCGCGCTCCATGCGGGTGCCACGGCGCCCCAGCGTCGTTTCATCCTTCGTGAGTCGGCGCAGTGTCTAAAGGAGGATGAGGCGTGCTTTCAAGACATCGAGAGGCATCGCTTTTTCAACACGAACAACCTGTGGTTGAATCTTGTGTCCCTCAAGAAAGCGATGGAAAGCCAGGGTGGGATACTTCCGTTGCCTGTGATTCGCAACGCAAAGACCGTGAACCCGGTGGATGACGCCTCGACAAGGGTGTATCAACTGGAGACGGCGATGGGTGCGGCCATTGGGTTGTTTAAGCACTCCGCAGCCGTGTTGGTGCCACGAGAGCGTTTTGCGCCCGTAAAGACGTGCTCGGATTTACTTGCGCTGCGGTCCGACGCCTATGCTGTCACGGAGGATCAGCGGCTTGTTCTCTGTGAGGAGCGAGCCGGCAAGCCACCGACGATTGAGCTCGACAGCAAGCACTACAAGATCATCACCGGGTTGGAGGCACTGGTGAGGGGCGGTGTGCCGTCGCTGCGGCAGTGCAAAAAGCTCACCATTCAGGGACCCGTGGTGTTCGAGAGTGGCATTGTGGTGAAGGGTGACGTAACGATACGCAACATGACGAAGGACCCTCTCACGATTCGGCGCGACCGAGTCCTGAATAATGAGGTGGTAGAGGCGTAGGAGGAGCTTCGTCCTACCGTGGGACCCAACGTGGTCGCCCCTCCCACGCACACACACAAATATAAATATATATATATATATATATATATTTATATATGTGAACAAAATAAAGAAGTGGGGAGTGGGTGGGGGAACCACATACACACGCATACACACGGGAATTTTACATGTTTATATTTATTTGTTGCTTCCATTTTTCGAATGCATAAAAATGTATTTACTGTGCACATTTGTTGCTTGCGAGCTGGGGTTTTAGTATGCGGGTCTTACTCGTGGAGTGGGGGAGGGCGTCACGGAAGTATGTCAGTGAATGCACATGAATAAACAACGACGCCTGGTTTACGCTTTCACTTTGTTTTTGTTTTTG